AGTCAGAATCAATTTGTTATAAATGTAAGGAGGTAATTACACATCGCATTATTACTGCATTGGGAAAGACATGGCATCCAGAACATTTTTCCTGTAAAGATTGTCAATTACCTATTGAGGAGGCTACATTTAACATTCAAGATGGAGAACCGGTATGTTCAAAGTGTTTTATGAATAATTATTCCGGAACGTGCCATGGCTGTAAAAACCCTATATTAGAGGTTTGTATTTCCTATTAATGTTATGTATGTATGTATGTATGTATGTATGTATGTATGTATGTTATGTATGTATGTATGAGTATGTATGTAGTATGTATGTATGTATGTATGTATGTATGTATGATGTATGTATGTATGTATGTATGTATGTATGTATGTATGTATGTATGTATGTATGTATGTATGTATGTATGATGTATGTATGTATGTATGTATGTATGTATGTATGTATGTATGTATGTATGTATGTATGTATGTATGTATGTATGTATGTATGACGTAGTAGTATGTATGTATGTATGTATGTATGTAGTGTATGTATGTATGTATGTATGTATGTATGATGTAGTATGTATGTATGTATGTATGTATGTATGTATGTATGTATGTATGTATGTATGTATGTATGTATGTATGTATGTATGTAGAGGTATGTATGTATGTATGATGATGTATGTATGTATGTATGTATGTATGTATGTATGTATGTAGGATGTATGTATGAGGATGGATGTATGTAGTATCTCTATCTATCTATCTATCTATCTATCGATCTATCTATCTATCTATCTTCTATCTATCTGCTATCTATCTATCTACTAGCTATCTAGCGAGCTCTATCGATCGAGCGATCTAGCGAGCGAGCGGCGATCGATCAGCGAGATCGAGCTATCGAGCTATTAGCGAGCGAGATCGATCGAGCTATCGATCTATCTAGCGAGATCTAGCAGCTAGCGATCTGAGATCGAGCGAGGAGCGAGCGAGCGAGCGATCTAGCGAGCGAGCTAGAGCTATCTATCTAGCTAGATATCATCGATCTATCTATCTATCTATCTATCTATCTAGCTATCTATCTATCTATCTATCTATCTATCTATCTATCTATCTATCTATCTATCTAAACAAATTGTATGACAATCAGTCCATAATTCTATCTATCTATCTATTTATGTATATTAGACATACACATGCTTCATGGGAACCATAATTGACCATACTACTCATGTAAGGTCCCTTACATAACTTCGTATATGTATATAATATCGTTACCCTTTATTCAATAAGTGCTAAATCAAACTTGGGACAAATTGAGTTTTTGATGCCAAAGGATTCCACGTTGCGATCTCAAAGTTAAATTTTTATTGAATGTTAATGTTAATCGGCTGTATTTATAAAAACTTATTTTAGGTTTATTAAACAATTTTAGGCAAAATTCAGGAAAATCGTATTTATAAACGTGAAATAGCTTAAAACACCTTCAATAAACCATTGACAATTAGAAAAATTTTATTGTAGGCTCGACCCTTCTTTAAGCCAACAATAACTTGATTTATCTATCTATCTATCTATCTATCTAAACAAATTGTATGACAATCAGTCCATAATTCTATCTATCTATCTATTTATGTATATTAGACATACACATGCTTCATGGGAACCATAATTGACCATACTACTCATGTAAGGTCCCTTACATAACTTCGTATATGTATATAATATCGTTACCCTTTATTCAATAAGTGCTAAATCAAACTTGGGACAAATTGAGTTTTTGATGCCAAAGGATTCCACGTTGCGATCTCAAAGTTAAATTTTTATTGAATGTTAATGTTAATCGGCTGTATTTATAAAAACTTATTTTAGGTTTATTAAACAATTTTAGGCAAAATTCAGGAAAATCGTATTTATAAACGTGAAATAGCTTAAAACACCTTCAATAAACCATTGACAATTAGAAAAATTTTATTGTAGGCTCGACCCTTCTTTAAGCCAACAATAACTTGATTTTTAACAATTTTTTCTCAGATAAAGATTTTTCCGGTAATTTTAGGTTGATTGCGAAAAGTAATTATGGTTTCTTTTAAAATAAAATCTAAAAATTCTAATTTTAACGTTTACAAATTTGTAAATAAAATCCCAGAAAATTTTTAAACGATTATATTTTGAGGAAAAAACTCAAATCTAGGCATTATTGGATTAATGCATGAATATTTGACAATATTCCAATTGTCCAGCACTATTTTTAGGCAATTTGGAAATGCCCGTCTGTCAACCAAATGATGGATAAAATCATTTAATTTGGCTTTTTCAAAGTTTGTTGGTTAAATATAATGCCATAAAGTAATTAACCATGTAAATTATATTGATTAGTGTTATACTAATGCAAAATATATTCGCCGGCATTAAAATTAGTCGTTTATTATTGGTTTATGAATATCATAATTTTATTAATGGTTTTTAAGGCTAAAGTGTGCTTTAACTATTGAGTGCATTAAAAGCAAAATAAGATTTTTTCATAAATACAAGCGAATATTTATTAAAGAAAATAAGTATTAACTTCCATACAAATTTTGTAAAATTTTTATAAATTTATTTAAAATTTATTTTGTATATTAACAAGATGAACATGCTGAACACAAAACTGGCAAAGATAAAGACATTAAATGTTAGATAGATTTTAAGATATGACCATTTATATACATACGTGTATATGGTCACCTAAAACGCAAACGGCCCTATCTAACATTTTTAAAATTTTACAGGAGAAGCAAAAAACTATTTAAATTGAAAAGTTTGTTTCTATCAACGCGATTTATTTGTAGTAAATAAACAAATTGTATAATAGTGAAACCTATCGTTTGTTATGATAGTTGACAATGGCGTATATAAAAATGGATAAATTGGACTTTTCACCTTTAATATTTAAATGTTTTTGTAGATAGGGCCTTTTGTTTTTTGTCAATAAAATCGATAATTTTTGTCGGAGGAGTCCAATTTTTGTTGTGGAACATTTGCTTTGATGTAATGTATTAGAATCAACAATAAAATCGATTTTGAATTTTTGATTAGTTAGGGCCGTTTGCGTAACAGGTGACGATATATAGGTAGTTTTAGACTTTAAATAATGTTTTTCAAAAAAAAAATTTAAGTAATTTTACAAATCGTTTATAAATTAAGATCTATAATATTCCATTTTGAATTTTCATCATAAAAAAGTCTAGAAATATGTATGTTTGAAGCAAAGTATAACGTATATAACAAAGTTATAATTTGGTTTGAAGTTTATAGACTACTAAACGGCTGAACCGATTTTCACAGCGTATTCCTGTGTATGTCTGGAAGAGGTTATATGCTACTTTTTGCACGAAGAACTTAAACATCCATGTTAACATTTTGGGTAATAAATTGGCGGACTACCCATAAGGGGAGCGGCACCTTCATCTGGTGGGTCTTGGAGCCCGCATATAATTAAATAAAAAAAATCGTATATCTGAGAAACTTTTACAGCTAGAATCTTTAAATTTTACATGAAGAACTTTGCCATTCATTTGAACATTTAGAGTGTAACGGACGGGTGACTTGGCACCTCCCATATGAATTAAATACAAGATTTCGTTTATCTGGGAAACTAATAGAACTAGATTCTTCAAATTTTGCACGAATTACTTTAATATTCATCTGAAAATTTTGGAGACTTTTATCTTATTAAGATCCCACATGAATTATATAAGAAGATTTGTAGATCTGAGAAACTATTAGAGCTAGAATCAAATTTTCATATTTTACATGAAGAACTTTGACATTCATGCGAACATTCAGAGAATAACGGGCGGACTTTCAATGAGAATTAAATACAAAATTTCGTATATCTTGGAAGCTTTTAGATTATTCAAATTTTTCATGGATTAAAAATTGGCGAACTTGCAATAATTTGCGTGGCATCTCTCATATGTAACATATTGTAAATCTGGAAAACTATTGTGGTAAGAATCTGGTAAGTGAGGTTTTTATTTATATTGCTTTTAGGGTAGCAAAGTACACTGGGTATAGCTACCCAGCAAAAATAAAGCGAAGTACTTCCAAAAGAATAACATTTATCACCACTTTAAAAGTAGCAATTAGGGAATTTTTTTACCTTCTGTGGAAGTGATGTTTAATGATTTCCGAAGAAGCGAAAATAGTTCTATTTTTTCAATGCTGAAGATATTTTTTTTTGTTCTTACATTTCTGTGAGATTAGAAATTTTATTTTTGTGCTTCTGTTTTAAATGTATATATTAACCTTCACAGAAAAAATTAATTTTAAAAAATTTTCAGTTAAACGATTAATTAAAAATTTTGAAAGGGTTCAATTCATTTTGTATTTGATTCATAAAAATGTATAATCAAATACGTATTTAACAACAACAAAAATAGAAAAATATAAAAATTTTGTGTACGAAATCAATTATAAATAGTAATTGAATATACAATTTTTGTTATAGGTTGAACTTCAAAAAATAAAATAATTGAAAACGAGGTTTTGGTAATTGAAATCGTTTTTCAGTTTTTTCTGTGTTATGAATGTTAATATTATTTAAGGCAAATTAGTTGTATTCCATAATAATACAATTTCACTTCCGAATAACTTCCAAAAAAAGCAGAAAAATTACTTCTTAAGAATGACTTCGGAAGTAGTGAATTTAGAATCAAATAAAAAGGACATCCCTCCTATGACAAGCCTGTGAAAAAATCATCATTTCATCAGGTCTTTCTAGCTTCTTTGGAAGTTCTTTTTTTGCTGGGTACTACATTAAATATTTGTATTGAGAATAAGAAATATGTACTATGTGAGCACTGCTTTCCTACTTAAATAGTCTAAATGCATCTTAATGGAATTACTGGATTAACTTAGATACATATATCTCTTTTAAACAAAACATTTAATAAAATTTTAAAATAACGCATAAAAAATAGAAATTTAAATGTTGAAAAACAAAATCTAAAACAGGAAATCATCAGCAAACATAGTTAACATCCATTCTTCAACAAGGCCCGCAAATTACGCGCAAATTTCATCGAATTTAATCTAAAAATCATAAAGAAATAAACAATTTCCAAAGAAATTGCATACATTTTTTTAACAAATAGAAAAATAAAAATAAATTTGAAATAAAAAAATTTTAAATTAAAAAAATTCATACCATTTAGGAACTTATTCTTAAATATTATTAACTTTTGTCAATGAAAGCAGTTCATAATATTTATGCTGCAACTTTTTTCTGTGTACAAAGAATTTTTATTCTATTCTTTGAACAAAACATGCTAACTAAGAACAAATACTTGTTTTTTGTCGACCAAAAAGTGATATCTTATAAAAATCGTTAAAATATGCAAAATATTTAAATTTTTTTTAAAGAGGAATTAAAAAGATTGTTAAGAAACATTATCTTTTATTGCAATTAAATAGTATTTTTGCTCTCCTGAAAGCTAGACGCTATTGATTGACACTTTTTGAATATAAGGTATCGATATCAAAACGTATAAATCTACGTTTACAATGCTGGAATACTCCACACTCCACTATCCAATAGTACTAACCTTGGTGCAAATTTCGTCAAAATCAATTTTTTGAGTTGGGTCACTTGATATGAAATTGCCCATATGTAAATATTTACGAAAATCATCTAATTCTGTAGGTGTATCTTTTTTGTTTTAATTTCTTACACTATGGGATATTTTTATTCGTAATCCATAATTTTTAAATAATAAAAATTATTATAATTATATTCTGAGCATTATTGAATATCGTACGTGACTATGGTAGGTGACAGATTTTTCATCAACATTTGTTGATGGATTTTAGTTTTCCAACAACTTTAATTTCCAGCTATTTCCTTAACTTACTTTTATTTGTTAGATCCAAATTCAATCTAAAAGATAGAATTAAACTTGTTTTGGGACAAAACTGAACTTAAGAATCAGTTATTGATCTCATGCTAATAATTTCGTAAACCTGGAATAATTGTGCTTGGATATCTTCGAATGAGAAGAATAACAAAACAAAACGAGTTTCCGAGTACGAGAAACTCCGTACCGCGAGAGAGATGAATGATATGTTAGTTCCATAATGGGATGCGGATGGGATATCTATCAAAAAAATATATAGTACTTTTAAAAATGTTACAGGAGAGACAAAAAACTAAAAGTTTTGACAATAGAATTCTAAAAATTTGTGACAACATGTATTGTGATGCAGTGTTACGCCCTTTTGCATTTAAGATGACAATATGTAGCTTCCGTGGTGAAAGTCATATCCGAAAATAGCACTTTTACTTGTTTATAACTTATTTTATCTTAATTGTAAATAAAAATTATAATTTTATTTAAAGCGTACAATTAAGGCTCTGGGCCTTACGTGGCATGAAGACTGCTTCTGTTGTGGGGGACCATGTAATAAGCCTTTGGTTGGTACCTCTTTTTACGAACGAGATGGAAAGGCGTACTGTAAACATGACTTTGAAGCATTGTTCGCCGCCAGATGTGCCGGATGTTTTAAGCCCATTACAGAAAATGCGATCGTTGCTTTAGATGCCAAATGGCACAGAGATTGTTTTAAGTGTAAGGTATGTATGTAATGTTAAATAATCGGGTCCCAGTATATAATTCATTTTATTTTTTAAGAAATGTGGAAATCCGATAACTGCCTCTACATTTGCTGTTGAAGGAAATAAGCCGATGTGTACAGAATGTTCTTCATAAATGCACATAATAGCACTACTTTTTTTTTTAATATAGGAAAAAATAATTTATATATAGTAAAAAATATGTTAAATAGGCTTAACACGACATTTTTGAAATTGTACCATTTATGAACGTTTTTGGATCAGTAATAATAGTGAAATCAAAAATATGCTTTTAAAAAGTGTTTTATACGTATTAAATATGTATAAGAAGTCAAAAAATATGCTTTTAAAATTAGTTAAATATGTTTTAAAAAAAATAATGATTTTTTTAACAGTGAAAGCTCAAAATTATGTTCAGAAATACACAATATTTCCTGTCACATTGTTCGAAGAACTAAATTTTTACACAACAATGTTTTTTTAGAAATAAAGCAATCTTTTAAGATAAATTAGATTCCATTTTAAGCTTAAATCATTTTGTTAAAATTGCAACTCCTTCATCTTCCGTTTCACTCAAAATTGTTGGATTTAGCCACAGATATGCAGATAAAAGAGATGGAATTTTTTTAAAAAATAGCATTGTGATACTGATACAAAAACCTTCTATAAAGGTATGATATCTTCAAATAGGGAAACATTTTTTTAAATGAAGCTTAATTATTATACACTATTCTAAATACATATGTTAATGAACTTATACTACCTCCAAATTATTCGAACAAATTAGTTTTCCTTAACTCGTTTCAAATTATTAAATGCTCATTTGCTTTATATTTATTCTGTATTTTATTAAAAATTATAAAAATATACGTAGTTGAGACAAAAAAAACTAAATAAAATGAAAACTATTGTTGTTATAAAAATGATATTTTCTTACATGTATTATATCCCAACATCAATAAACATGGTTAAATACATATAAATGCCGCCAGACATTTTCTATTATGTATTTAAAAACACAATAAAATTGGTTATTAAAATATCGTCACCTGAAACGTAAACGGCCCTAACTAACCAAAAAGTCAAAATCGATTTTATTGTTGATTCTGATGTACTGCATCAAAACAAATGTCCACATAAAATTGGACTCCTCCGACCAAAATTAGCGATTTTATTGACAAAAAATGCCCTATATACAATAACATTTCAATATTAAACGTAAAAAGTCCAATTTATACATTTTTATATACGCCATTGTCAGCTATCATAAAAACTGATACGTTTTACGTTTTAGGTGACGATAATAATTAAAAAAGTTCAATTTTATACGGAGGAATGGTTTTTTGCTTGCAAGCGAAATCGGTTCAAGTGTCAATAACACTGGTCTGAGCAGGTAAGATTTCATTTATAATTTCGAGCTCAAATTACTTGATTTCGACTCGGTCTGAATAGGCTATTAAATATGTTTAATAAATATACTTTAATAATTTATACAAATTTGGCTAAATAACACCCAATTGATTATTAAAATATGAGTTTAACTGAGATCGTTATTTTTATAGTTATTTATTTATTTAATTATTTATATTTTTTATAAAAGTGACTAAAATTTAACAAGCAAATATTTAAAATATTTATTATTTTTGGATTAAATGTAATGTAAATAAAATTTAAAATATTGCAAATGGCAACACTGATTCATGCATTCTAGTGAATGCAAACGACTTTCACTCTTTGGCGCAATTTACATGAAGTCTTTTCAGACGTCTGTTTTTCCTATTCTCTTTTGAGAATCTTCCAAAAAATCATGAGCAACTTTTCATGTCTATTTGGATGTTTAGTGTAAATAAAATTAGATTTTTAACATAAAAACAATTTAGTTTGATTAAAAATAATTAATAGTATTTTTTAATGCAAATTTTAATGTTTTCATTAAAAAATACGTTATTATATTTTTAAATAAGTATCAATAATCAACTGTACGAATGTTTAGTGTAAATAAAATTAAATTTTTAACATAAAAACAATTTAGTTTGATTAAAAATAATTTTAGTGTTTTCATTAAAAAAATAAGTTATTATATTTTTAAATGAGTATAATATCAACAGTACGAATGAGGATAAATAGGAATCTCAAAATCAATCATGAAAATCCCAAATCATGTTTGTTTGGGGGGGGTAACATTCTTCTCTACCCCGCTCACCACCAATCATCGACAAACATGAAAACAGACGTCTGGGCAACATGAAAAAAATCATCGTGTAAATTGGGTGTAAAAATTAAAGCAAATACATAATAAAACAGACATCAAAAAAATCCTCAAACTACGATTCGTGCGTCTTTTGCTACTTCCCTTTCTTTACCCCCTTTGCCTACAAGCTCGTGTCGCACGTTGGTGTCCCCTCAGCTATAAGTGCTCTAAAAATTTGAGACAACGTGTATTTATGTACGCCCATATGCCCCAAAATGCAAGTTGCTGATGTTCCCTCCGAAAATGAAAATTTAGTTCATTCTAAGATACCATTTATAAAAATTGTTGTCCTGACGTCAATATTTGGCGAGCTGGATCAAAGGATAAAAAGGTCCTTTTTTAAGGTTTATATGATTTTTTCACATTTCTAGCAAATAAATCATATGCAGATTTAGCATCATAGCAAAGGTCTTTGAGAGACGATTTCAATGACATAACACAAATTTGTATACGACTCCAAAATTATTACAAATGTTTAAGTTTTTCAAATGTTTACATAGAATTATATAATGTAATTAATTTAAATTATTACATCATAAACCTCATACAGTTTCGCCGAAATGGTTTTTTTCTGTTTTTCGAAATTCGTTATATTTTGTATTTGATTTTAATATTTTAAACTCTATTGTCCTAGGGTTTCTGCTAGCTATATTTATCTAACGTAGTTAATATGTACATCAGCGTACATAGGCTTCGATAAATTTAAATAGAATTTAATCTAGATTGAATTTTGAAAAACGGAAAAACCCATTTCCGTAGATTTTATTGAGGATTATTATATATTAATTTTTAAATTCAGCTGTGTTAAAATGTAAAAAATCTGAAAATTTCAAGAAAACAGAAAATTTCTGTTACTTTTGCTGATACACACAAATTTCTGATTTAAAGCGTCTCTCAAGATATGAAATTTTGGTATCATAAGAAGTCTTGAGAGTCGCTTTCAATGGCATATCAGAAATTTTCGTGTAACAGCAAAAATAATCGAAAATTTTCGGGAAATTTTCAGATTTTTTATATTTTAACTAAGGTTGGCAACCGTTTCGAAACGGTGATAAGGTAGCGGTATCGGTATTTTGACTTATTTCGGTATTGATATTTTAGTGTTATCGGTAGTGCACAAAAATTTGAAAAATTGATTTGACATTTTCAAATCTTAATATTTTTAACTCCAATACTGAAAATGTTGCATTTTTTCTTTCTAATATTAACTTAACGTACATAATTAATTTATATTAGATCCCTTATCACAACATCTCTCTATGGCCCATAGTGCAATGTCCGCCTATCCGAAATTAACGATGAGGTCACAGGTCACAATTATGAATATAATTTTAAAAAAATTAGTCGACATAATCTGCAAAATCAGGAAAACATTTCCACTAAATTTCTTTGAAATCAGACTACGACTTCAACTAGCTCTAGTATAGACAACCGACTTTTATTTGTTTCCAATATTAATGTATACCATAGTGTTTTTACTCTTTTGAAAATTCAAAAATTGTTACAAAATATTTATAAATAAAGTCAGATTTTAATAAAATTTGGTGGGATTATTACCCTAAATATTTGGATTGTGATTTTTTTATAATTCTGATCATAAATATGACGATGATACTATCAGAAATTATGGATAGACAGACATTGCAATATGGGTCATAGAGTGAATTTGAGATAAAACGTGTAACAATGTAGAAGCATAATAACGTAAATCTTATGAGAAATTTTTTATTAGTACAATCTATATTAAGATTTGAAAATATTAATGCAATGGAAAAATAATGCACTATAGTTCGAAAACAACTAATGATACGCAAAAATATTCATCAATCAAAATGTAGGAAATTCAATTCTCTATAGTAATTATAAACACATTAAAATGCGTACGACGCATGTTAAGCAAGTTATTTGACATAAACTAATTTTTCTAACCTTTGACCTCCAATATCTCGCATAGCGCTCAAGGGGAAGCTACCCAGTAAAATATTTTCAAATTTTGGTAATGAGTATTGTAGGTAATGTAGTTATTTCACACATTACTTGGTGAAGAGTGGTCTTTATTAATAAAATTATTTAATTTTTTTTTGGGTAGGATTTGTTGCCAGATGTATAGAGCGTATGTCTAATAAGGAATTGGTTAATGGTTTTAAGCCTAGTCGATATTAGAATATTTTTTAAGAAATATTGATTTGTACCTTCATGTAAAAACTATTCCTAATAGCACTATAAAACAATTTGTTAATGGGGCATTGGGTAATAGAATATACTAATAAACACAGAAAATTACTGTAAGGTCGGTTTTAAATCCGGAAAAGTCGGGTAAGCACATTTGTAACCAGTTATTTTTTAGTCATCGTCAAACAAAAATAAGTAGTTATTCACCCAAAGAGGAAGTACTTACACTTTGCTCCAATATTACTTGCCTTGAAAATATTAATGCAATGGAAAAATAATGCACTATAGTTCGAAAACAACTAATGATACGCAAAAATATTCATCAATCAAAATGTAGGAATTCAATTCTCTATAGTAATTATAATCACATTAAAATGCATACGACGGATGTTAAGCAAGTTATTTGACATAAACTAATTTTTCTAACCTTTGACCTCCAATATCTCGCATAGCGCTCAAGGGGAAGCTACCCAGTAAAATATTTTCAAATTTTGGTAATGAGTATTGTAGGTAATGTAGTTATTTCACACATTACTTGGTAATGAGTGGTCTTTATTAATAAAATTATTTAATTTTTTTTGGGTAGGATTTGTTGCCAGATGTATAGAGCGTATGTCTAATAAGGAATTGGTTAATGGTTTTAAGCCTAGTCGATATTAGAATATTTTTTAAGAAATATTGATTTGTACCTTCATGTAAAAACTATTCCTAATAGCACGATAAAACAATTTGTTAATGGGGCATTGGGTAATAGAATATACTAATAAACACAGAAAATTACTGTAAGGTCGGTTTTAAATCCGGAAAAGACGGGTAAGCACATTTGTAACCAGTTATTTTTTGGTCATCGTCAAACAAAAATAAGTAGTTATTCACCCAAAAAGGAAGTACTTACACTTTGCTCCAATATTACTTGCCTACTTACCGGGTAGGTAAAGATTTTGCTGGGTATATGCCAATTTTTAATTAGCTATCTGAAATTCCCCAGATTGCTAATTTTTTGCCTAATTTTCCCAAACAAATTATATTCATTACTTATACATTGGCCATCACGTGGTGGTATGCCAAAAATTTTTCTAAATTAGTTATATTCCTAATGTACATATTATGTACATTAGATTGGCAGTTGTAATAATGGGCCTTAATGTTTAAAGTCGTTTTAAAAGTCAAAGAAGAAAGAGGTGCAAAATGTAAGAAAATACATTTGTGAAATTAGCCGTTATCCTTTTTATAGAAATAAATTAAATATTTTAAACAGTATTTTGTTAAACGCAAACCCCTTTTACTTCTGTCAACAACAAAATGTTAGTGATCATCCTTAAAATATTCTGTGCATTAAACAGGAATTGAAGAGCATTAGTCACTATTTTCTAAATATCTAAGGATCCAAAATTTGTCATCAAGAAGACGTTAGAGCTGGAGCAAATTGGGATATTCTTTTGAAAAAATTATTGTTAAATATTAAATACAT